ATACCGTATCCTGTGGAAGTCTTACCAGGTAGATGCCCCGCACAGAGGACATTAATGTTCTTTTGGCCCGAATACAATACGTCCACTTCCCGGAGGGTTCGTGTTTCTTCCTCGGACCACACTACCTGGCGAGGGCACGCCGATGGCGTCCTGACTCCCAGAGAATGGATGCGTTCAGCATTCCTTGAACAAGGATGCTTATGACGCTTATGTTGCGAAAGCCCTGCTTTGGTCTTAAAACTATCACTGAAAAGATCACACGAGAAATTGCTCAAGTTCGCAGCAAACGTAACAGTTCGCCGCCAGGGACATTTCGGAACGTGACAGGCTATTGCATGATGATTACCATCACTTTTACCACAATATGAGCAGCATGCCTGAGTCTCTGAATCGTGGAAGTTTGCCTGATGGACTGCAAACTTCGAGTATGCCAAGAACTCTTTGGAACACAAGTCACATGCCACCTTTCTGAAGGGCAGACGCACGGTTACCAGTGAACCTACCCGGTAACTGGTTCTCTACAGACAGGTTGCAGTTGTCTGTAGGAGGCAGACATTCACCCTCAGTCACACACGATGACTGGATGCTTCCAGACGAGCTGTCTGAAGCTCTAGGCGTGGCCCTTTCGTCAGTTTCGCCCTCAGTCATGCTCGATGACTGGATACTTACAGACGTGCTGTCTGAAGCTCTAGGCACAGCCAAACAGATCTCCATCAATTCCTCAGTTTCAAAGTTATTCTAAGATTCGCCCTCAGTCACGCTCGATGACTGGATACTTACAGACGTGCTGCCTGAAGCTCTAGGCACAGCCAAATATATGTCCGTCAATTCCTCTGTTTTGCCCTCAGTCACGCACGATGACTGGATACTTGCAGGCGAGCTGCCTGAAGCTCTAGGCATAGGCAAATAAATATTTGTCAGATTTTTATTTTGTTTCAAACGGGTATTTTGTCTTAATTCGGTATTTTGGTCACAGATCAGGTAATTGTCCACCGAAGTGGACTCTTCACAAATTGTCTCTCGTGGGGAGACATTAATAAACAAGCCGTCCACCTGAGTGGTTCGGCACCTACCGCCCCATATAGGTTGTACTCTAGTTGCACTGGGTTCACCTTGGGTATGTGAGCCGGTGGTGGAATAGGTATTTTTCAATTCCTCTATTCCAGACGTTTGGAGTCCCTCATCGATCCGTCCCTCGTTGCCAGGGAATCGCTCGGAAGCTACCATCCCTAGTTGGTGCCAAGTAGCTCGGGTTTGGCTGCCGCCCTGGCACCCCACGGACACCAAACCATAGCTTTTATTCGTTATAATATCACCCATGTTTAATAAACAGTCTACTCTGATATAGGGCTGACCGGTTCCCTATAAAATGCAAATACAGGGTAGGGTTGCAAGCCCCTACCGGGTACCCAATAGCTGATGGGGCCGGTAAGTTCCCATCACAGTTTAGGGTTTTCCTTCCCATCTGGGAGATAGCTTCTCCTGCCGTTGGACATATAGTGGTTGGCGAGGCACTATATGGGTTTTTAGTGTTCTCCTTCACGGGTTGGAGGATTCGGTTACAGGATTTACCTGTATCCAGCCGTACCACAAGGAGGTACC